TATAAACGATTGAAATTTGAAAAGGTAAAGATATTTTAAAATTTTGAAATTTGAAATTTTAAAAGTTTAATTTTAAATAGCTTCTAACAATGATACTCTTAATACTCCTACTAATGATACTTCAACTACTTCTACTAACAACACTCATTTTAACAACACGCTTATCAACAATTCCCCTTCTAACAATCCTTCTATTAACAATTCTCCTTCTAACACCACTCTTACTATCGCTTCTAACAATATTCCTAATACACCTATCGACACTGCTAACAATAATTCTAAAAACAATGATCTTCGCAACAACTCATTTTACATCACTTCATATAACAATATTCCACACAACTCTCCTTATTTCAATTTTTATAACATACCTTACAACACACCTTATAACACATCATACAATATACTATACATTTCTTATACCAACCTACCTTATAACAATACACTTTCAAACTACAACTTATCTTCATATCTGACTATTAGTATTGACCAAAATCGATATCAATCAAATACTCCTCGTTATCAACCATTAAATAATAAATATGATGATGATGATTCTGACAACAGTATTTATAGTATACAAAGCATTTTTTCAAAAATGAGCAGTAAAGATAAAAAATCACAAAAATCTGACTGTACTCTAGTTGTATGCCAATCCTCCCAAACTAATGAACATAGATCCAAATATTAATCAGAACATCGATCTGAATATCAACCCAGCCGAACACTATCGCATTCTAGTGAATGAAATAGATTTTTATCACCATTTTTATGACATTTACAAGAAAGAGAAAGAAGGTCTAGATCATGATCCCGGGCACTACCTAGATCAGAATCCCAAGTGCAATTTAGTTCTGGATCCTAAGCACAATCTAGATCTGGATCCCGAACACAATCTAGATCTTGATCCTGAGATTGATAATCACCCAATCAGAAACAACCACGTGATCATAATAATACAGTATATAAGTTGTTTTTTTTGATCTCCAGATCTTTAGATTGTCCTTTAGTTAAGTTTTTTTTTTTGAAACTTTTTTTTTTACAATAATGAACATAAAAATGTGCTAGTTATCGAAGAAAAGTTGATGAGCTAATATTCAAGCAGAATATGCAGCTTTATCTTTTAGTAAAGCAGAATAGCCAAAAATTCAACAAATTGAATAATAAATTTAAGTGTTTAAGAAATGAATGTGAAAAAGACCTTTTTCTAAAGATGTTGGACATAAGTACTTTGTTTGCATAATATAGTATAGTACTTGATCTTTTTTTAAGCCATTATAAAACTCCTATAAGACATATATACAGGCATTGTCAAATGTCTTTTTCTGTTGCATGTTTACCCTACTCAAAGTATACTAAAGAAAGCCTTCAAGAGCTACCTTAATGAAAACTTTTCAGAGTATATGTTAAACCTTAGTGAAAATGAGTTCACTAACAATTTTCATAGAAGTTGGTATAGTTAAGTATATAATATCTTTACTTAAATATGTATATATTTGTATCTTATTAGTTTTAACTGTTTAATTTTGTTTTGTTTTTTGCTGGTTTAAAATCATTTTATTTGTTTTTTTTACTTTAATATACTAACTTTCATTTTTTTATTTATTAGCTTTTACAAAAGAACAAAAACCATCGTAGAGCTGCATTGCAAAACGTACAATCTTCAGTATTTGGTCATGAAAAATTACCACCCCTTAAAAGCATTGCTAATGCAGTTAAAATAATTTGATGAAAGAAAAGTTTGCAAGTTAATAAATGCTATCATTAGAGTACGGCATGGGCTGGGCCGGGCCGGGCTTTTCCAAATTAAAACCAGGCCCAAAAAATATTTTTGAACCCAAACCTGGCCCAGAAAAAAAAAAAGCCCAGGGCATGAGCCAGGTTGGGCTTTCTTTAAAAGCTAGGCCCGGCCCAAGCCCGGCCCATTGGGCTTTGTCATATAGAATAGATTAGAAATTCTATCTATCTGAGAAGAGATTTTTGAATAAATTTTGTACATGCTTGATTTCAATTCTCAAAGCTAAATTGATAATAGATTTTATTCTATTTTAGAGCATTATATCTTTGAATAATTGATTTTTTCAAATTAATATATCTTATAATTTATTAATTAATATAAACACAGTATATACCATTGGCCATTGCATACAGTATCCCTCCAAAATAATATCTCCGTGATTAAGACCCAGGTATTATTTATCACCCATCTGGCTTAAATCTTGAATAATACCCAGGGGTATAACTAGAGTTAATACTTGAATCTGGATTTAATTATTTATATCCGGATTTGATCATTAGATCCGGGTACTGTACGCAGTGGCCAACAGTAATAAGAGTTAGTAATCAGAATAAAAAATGTCAAAAATTGGTTTTCTAGTCCATTCCCTATATGGGAAATAAAGCACATAGGCCAGATTGGTATATAATATATATATATATAACTAATCAAATAGACGGTCTAGAATCACAGAAATTTTCCTCAATAATTATCACAAAAATTGTGGAGTTACCTCTTTTTGCAAAGCAAACCCAACTACTAATCTCTTCGTATAAAATTTTTATTTATATTTTTTTTATACAATATTTGATATACTATAGGCCTATAATTGCATTACTTCTTGTATGACAAACAGATCAACAAACAAAGATCACTATTTAACGAAGACATATGCTTCAAAATAGTATCATAGCACCATATTATTCACAATTACAACTTCACAGCTAGTTTGGATCCAGTGAAGATTATATTATGAAAAGAAGACTTTAGTAAATAATTAAAAATATTTCTTTTTTTTTTTTGAAATTAAAATTTGCATAATTATTGAATTGCAACTACCGTTTTATTATGCCCTTAGGGCCAAGAGTTTGGATTGTACCACTAGCTATTAGTTAGTCTTTATATTCTCGTATTTTTATAGTAGCTATTTGATATTAATACATATTAATCCAATGTTCGCTTTTCATAACTTAAATCAAGAACAGAAGGTGAACTTAAACTATATATTTCATATCTCAAAATTTTATTTCAATGAAATGTATTAAATCAATTTAACATGCTTCTAAAACATAAAATAATTAGTATCCACAAATATATTAAAATTAAAATGCTTTAATTATAAATTAAATACTTAACTGATTCTTTTTTTTTGATTTTTTTTTTTTTTTAAATTTTTTTTTTTTTAATTTTTATTTATTTATTTATTCAACATATTCGATACTGAAAGTAGATCGCATCTAAAAATATATCTTCCAAGACCATTGACTCACAATTATTCATCATATTAGTTCGGGTTACAGAGTTTTTAAGTTCTCTACTTAGTGAACAGATTATCAGCAAAGGATTTTCTATATTTCATACACATTTGGTAAAGTGAATGCTTATATAAAAATATTGGATTACTTACTATAATTTAGTATAATCAAAGGAGATTAATTTATTGTTTAATAAGCCAGTTTTAAAATAAATATACAACCTTCACTCTGTCCATTCTCGTTCCTTTGCATCTTTCAACCAGTCTTGACTACAAATTAATATTTCAACGATTTCTGGAGTAAGATTTGATCTATAATCATTGATAACTCTACTAGCCGTACTAAATGCCTGAATAAATAATTAATATAGTTGATTTATATTAGTAAACTAATTTTAGCTAGAATTCTACTTACTGCTTCAGACGCCACAGAGGTTATAGGGATGGCAAGAATGTCTCTAGCCATTAATGCAACAGATGGGTATTTCAATGTATTTTCCTTTTACCAAGCTAAAACATCAAAAGTACTGGAGGAAGAACGAGGAAGAAGTGGATCAGAAAGATAAAGCTCAAACTCATCCATATCATTGAGTATATTAACTTGGTTTGCCGCAATATAACGGTCAAATTCTTGCATTAAATTATTGTCTTGCGAATCCAAATTAGAATAACTATGATTATTAGATATAACTATATATTGAAGATATGTTAACTTATAGATCATCGTAGCTCTACATAAAGTTAAATTAAAAATGAGGAAGTTTTATTTGAAGATGCTATAAATCATCATCGCTTATATAGTAACTACTGTAGTTACAGTATAAACTTTATCCTGTTATTACCAGGTGGGTAAAAAGTCTCTAATGCTAAACAGAACTCTTTTTAACTATTACTGCTAAAGATTTAAATATATTTAACCTAAACACAATTTAAATATAAATACATAATAAATATGCAATAAATACGTAATAAATACCTAATGATTACTAATCCAAACTTTAAATAATCTTAGTAATTAAGAAAAAAGAAACCTGTTTAGAGACTTTTTATCTATCCGGTATATATATAAGCTATAATAGTTTTTGCCAAATAAAGGCATTATATTGTATTAAATTACCTTCTTTTAATAAAATTCAGCTTTTTCTCAGCTTCTATGCATGGCAAGTGCATTTTATACTTATATATATGAGTTAATAATGACATCTTATAGCGAGAGTCCATCATTGATGCAATGCAGATCGTATCTCCCATATCTGCCCAGTACTTATCAAATTTGGTTTGCATTGGTATAACCATCTGACAAATAAAAGGCTCTATATTAATAGCATTTTGTTTAAGATGTAATTTAATTTTTACCAAATGAGAAAGAAAAATATTTGCTGTCGGGTATGTGCTTCCTGATATAATATTTGTAACTGTGTTAAAAAATAAATAACGAATTAATATATATTTTTATTAAAATATATTATAAATTTATCATCACCTTTATTAAAAAGTTTTAGAAAATCACAAATACACTTAGCTCTATTCCAATCATCATCAGAAGGCATAATACGATCAAAATTAATGTCTCGTAATGCAAGACGCTCAAATACACATTTATATGGAATAGAAGATTTTAATATTAAATAAACAGAATTTCATCTTGTAGGCACATCAAGTGCAGGTCGTTGACTTGATATAAGCTCAGTACAGCACCCAATTACCACATCCTCAAAGTTTTGCAGCCTAGATTGTGAACTATGAACCCACTTAGCACATTCTCGAATTTTGCTTACAATATTCTTAACCATTTTAAGACCATCATTTACAATGAGATTTAATATATGTGCATAGCAGCATTGGTGCAATGAATTTCCATTAGCAACAAGCATGTTTTCATCCTCGAGCCTGTGCTTTAAGTTAGTAATCACGGCATCATTACTGGTTGCATTGTCCATAGTGATTGCTAATATCTTTGATACAATGCCCCAATTATTAAAACATTTAAAGAGTGTTTCGCTAATTGCAACACCTGTATGTGGTGCAGGAACCATTCTAAACGCTATGACCAACTTCTAAAGTTTCCAGTTTATATTAATAAAATGACAGGTAATGATCATATATCCAAGGGTTTGGTTCGATGTCTACATATCGGTCATATAGCTTAAATGTCCAGGAGCATTATTTATCATTGCATAAGCTTTCTCTTTAAGCTCTTTAGCAATTTCTACACAATCTCTATATACTATTTTTTCACTTACCACTTTATATTTTGGTTGTAAACTATTAACAAACTTTATAAACCTCTTATGCTCAACCATACGAAATGGATATGAATACCTAACAATCATTTCTATCATTTCTTGATGACTTTTTTCTTGGCAAAACTTATAAGTTGCAAGACCTGCTGTGGATAATTGCAATATTTGTTGTGATTCATTAATATTCAAATGTTTTTTACATTTAGTGTTTTTCAAATAACGGATTAATGAGCTAGTTCCAGTTGTATTATTGTGTTTTAACCCATTTTCACAATATGAACATATTGCATAATTTTCTAACAAATTATATGAATAATATTAACTAATTCAAATTAAAAACCAAAACATCATAAAGCATGTATTTTACCTTTTTGAGGATCATGATTAAAATAACTTTCCTTAAAAACCCATGATTCTGAATTGTTTCTTCTACGTTTTTTATTAACCTCAGTTACTTTAGGGCTTTCAGTAATTATTTTAGGACATTCATTAGTTGCTTCAAGACTTATGTTAGTTACTTCAGGATTTTCATTAGTAGTGGTTATTTCAAGGTTTTCATTATTTGCAGTTATCTCGGGCTTTCATCTTCACTCGCGGCAGAATGGATGCTTTGTATTTCTAGTAATATTTTTACAATGGATTAGTTGTTTAATTTAGAATAGGCAATATTTAATTTTTTTATATCAAATAATGCCGGCATACCATAGTCCATCCTCTATAATATAGTTTGAACAAACTATTTTTTAATACTTTCAAACCATATAGCCTAAAAGAAGAGCCCAATTATTAAATATGAATCTCAAAAATATAGAACTCTTCTTAATGAATTCTCCTCAATTGTGTACCTTTTGGTTCCAACTTTTGCACCTACAAGTATAAAAACATCTTTTCATAAATACTTTGTCTAGTCATAAAAAAAAGTGCAGAAAGAACTTTCCATAAACAATAATCCGTTTACTTCTTACCTAGAATTTTTTTTTATGTACGTATGTACGTGTGTTTCTTCAGTGAATACTCTTTTACCAGACACGCCCTTTTTTTTTTTACTTTTTTAAATGGCAAACCTTATCAGTATCTATTATTGCTATACATATATCTGCAAGTCAATCGGCCCAAAAAAGTAAAGAACATGAAAAAATAGCTACCTAATCTAGTGCAAGGATAGATACTAATAAAATAAATAAAATATAAGTACCACCAAGAGTAAACCTGTCATCAAACTTTCAATTATTTTT